GATAAGTGACCTGGAACATAAAATAGTGGAAATAACTACTGCAGAGAAGAATAAAGAAAAAAGAATGAAAAGAATTGAGGACAGTCTCAGAGACCTCTGGGACAACATTAAATGCACCAACATTCGAATTATAGGGGTCCCACAAGAAGAAGAGAAAAAGAAAGGGACTGAGAAAATATTTGACGAGATTATAGTTGAAAACTTCCCTAATATGGGGAAGGAAATAGTCAATCAAGTCTAGGAAGCACAGAGTCCCATACAGGATAAATCTGAGGAGAAACACGCCAAGATACATATTAGTCAAACTATCAAAAATTAAATACAAAGAAAAAATATTAAAAGCAGCAAGGGAAAAACAACAAATAACACACAAGGGAATCCCCATAAGGTTAACAGCTTGATCTTTCAGCAGAAACTCTGCAGGCCAGAAGGGAGTGGCAGGACATATTTAAAGGGATGGAAGGGAAAAACCTAAAACCAATATTACTATACCCAGCAAGGATTTCATTCAAATTCGACAGAGAAATTAAAACCTTTACAGACAAGCAAAAGCTAAGAGAATTCAGCACCACCAAACTAGCTTTACAACAAATGCTAAAGGAACTTCTCCAGGCAGGAAACACAAGAGAAAGAAAGGACCTACATTAACAAACCCAAAACAATTAAGAAAATGGTAATAGAAACATACATATCAATAATTACCTTAAATGTAAATGGATTAAATGCTCCAACCAAAAGACATACACTGGCTGAATGGATACAAAAACAAGACCCGTATATATGCTATCTACAAGAGACCCACTTCAGACCAAGGGACTCATATAGACTGAAAGTGAGGGCATGGAAAAAGATATTACATGCAAATGGAAATCAAAAGAAAGCTGGAGTAGCTATTCTCATAAAGTCACACAAAATAGACTTTAAAATAAAGACTATTAAAAGAGACAAAGAAGGACACTACATAATGATCAAGGGATCAATCCAAGAAGAAGATATAACCATTGTAAATATTTATGCACCCAACATAGGAGTACCTCAGTACTTAAGGCTAATGTTAACAGCCATAAGAGGGGAAATTGACAATAACACAATCATAGTAGGGACTTTAACACCCCACTTTCACCAATGGACAGATCATCCAAAATGAAAATAAATAAGGAAACACAATCTTTATATGATACATTAAACAAGATGGACTTAATTGATATTTATAGGACATTCTATCCCAAAACAACAGAATACACTTTCTTCTCAAGTGCTCATGGAACATTCTCCAGGATACATCAGATTTTGGGTTACAAATCAAGCCTTTGTAAATTTAAGAAAATTGAAATCGTATCAAGTATCTTTTCCAACCACAATGCTATGAGACTAGATATCAGTTACAGGAAAAAAATGTGTAAAAATACAACCACATGGAGGCTAAACAGTAGACTGCTTAATAACCAAGAGATCACTGAAGAAATCAAAGAGGAAATAAAAAAATACCTAGAAACAAATGACAATGAAAACGCGAAAACGCAACAACCCAAAAGCTATGGGATGCAGCAAGAGCAGTTCTAAGAGGGAAGTTTATAGCAATACAATCCTACCTCTAGAAACAAGAAACATCTCAAATAAACAATGTAACCTTACACCTAAAGCAATTAGAGAAGCAAGAACAAAAATCCCCACAATTAGCAGAAAGAAAGAAATCATAAAGATCAGATCAGAACTAAATGAAAAAGAAATGAAGGAAACAACAGCAAAGATCAATAAAACTAAAAGCTGGTTGTTTGGGAAGATAAACAAAATTGATAAACCACTAGCCAGACTCATGAAGAAAAAAAGGGAGAAGACTCAAATCAATAGAATTAGAAATGAAAAAGGAGAAGTAACAACTGAAACTGCAGAAATACAAAAGATCATGAGAGATTACTACTGTATGCCAATAAAATGGACAACCTGGAAGAAATGGACAAATTCTTAGAAAAGCACAACCTGCCAAGACTGAACCAGGAAGAAATAGCAAATATGAACAAACCAATCGCAAGTACTGAAATTGAAACTGTGATTTAAAATCTTCCTACAAACAAAAGCCTAGGACCAGATGGCTTCTCAGGCGAATTCTATCAAACATTTAGAGAAGAGGTAACAGCTATCCTTCTCAAACTCTTACAAAATACAGCAGAGGGAAGAACACTCCTAAACTCATTCTACGAGGCCACCATCACCCTGATACCAAAACCAGACAAAGATGTCGAAAGAAAGAAAACTTCAGGCCAATATCACTGATGAACATAGATGCAAAAATCCTCAACAAAATACTAGCAAACAGAATCCAACAGCACATTAAAAGGATCATACACCATGATCAAGTGGGGTTTATCCCAGGAATGCAAGGATTCTTCAATATACACAAATCAATCAATGTGATACACCATATTAACAAATTGAAGGACAAAACCATATGATCATCTCAATAGATGCAGAGAAAGCTTTTGACAAAATTCAACACCCTTTTATGATAAAAACCCTCCTGAAAGTAGGCATAGAGGGCACTTACCTCAACATAATAAAGGCCATATATGACAAACCCACAACCAACATCTTTCTCAATGGTGAAAAACTGAAACCATTTCCAGTAAGATCAGGAACAAGACAAGGTTTCCCACTCTCACCACTCTTATTCAACACAGTCTTGGAAGTTTTAGCCACAGCAGAGAAGAAAAAGAAATAAAATGAATCCAAATCAGAAAAGAAGTAAAGCTGTCACTGTTTGCCGATGACATGATACTATATATACAGAATCCTAAAGATGCTACCAGACAACTACTAGAGCTAATCAATGAATTCAGTAAAGTAGCAGGATACAAAATTAATGCACAGAAATCTCTGGCACTCCTATACACTACTGATGAAAAATCTGAAAGAGAAATTAAGGAAACAGTCCCTTTTACCATTGCAACAAAAAGAATAAAATACCTAGGAATAAACCTAGCTAAGGAGACAAAAGACCTGTATGCAGAAAATTATAAGACACTGTTGAAAGAAATTAAAGATGATACAAACAGATGGAGAGATATACCATATTCTTGGATTGGAAGAATCAACATTGTGGAAATGACTCTACTACCCAAAGCAATCTACAGATTCAGTGCAATCCCTATCAAACTACCAATGGCATTTTTCACAGAATTAGAACAAAAAATTTCACAATTTGTATGGAAACACAAGAGACCCTGAATAGCCAAAGCAACCTTGAGAAAGAAAAACGGAGCTGCAGGAATCAGGCTCCCTGACTTCAGAGTCTACTACAAGCTACAGTAATCAAGACAGTATGGTACTGGCACAAAAAGAGAAAGATAGATCAATGGAACAGGATAGAAAGCCCAGAGATAAACCCACGCCCATATGGTCACCTTATCTTTGATAAAGGAGGCAAGAATATACAGTGGAGAAAAGACAGCCTCTTCAATAAGTGGTGCTGGGAAAACTGGACACCTACATGTAAAAGAATGAAATTAGAACCCTCCCTAACACCATGCACAAAAATAAAGTCAAAATGGATTAAAGACCTATTGGCTTCCCTTGTGGCGCAGTGGTTGAGAGTCCGCCTGCCGATGCGGGGGACACGGGTTCGTGCCCCGGTTCGGGAAGATCCCACATGCCACGGAGCAGCTGGGCCCGTGAGCCATGGCCGCTGAGCCTGCGCATCCGGGGCCTGTGCTCCGCAACGGGAGAGGCCACAGCAGTGAGAGGCCCGCGTACCGCAAAAAGAAAAAAAACAAAAAAACAACCTACAATGAGGTATCACCTCACACCGGTCAGAATGGCCATCATCAAAAAATCTACAAACAGTAAATTCTGGAGAGGGTGTGGAGAAAAGGGAACCCTTTTGCATTGTTGGTGGGAATGTAAATTGATACAGCCACTATGGAGAACAGTATGGAGGTTGCTTAGAAAACTAAAAACAGAATTACCATATGACCCAGCAATCGCACTACTGGGCATGTACCCTGAGAAAACCGTAATTCAAAAAGAGTCATGTACCACAATGTTCATTGCAGCACTATTTACTATTAGCCAGGACGTGGAAGCAACCTAAGTGTTCATTGACAGATGAATGGATAAAGAAGATGTGGCACATATATACAATGGAATATTACTCAGCCATAAAAGAAACAAAACTGAGTTATTTGTAGTGAGGTGGATGGACCTAGAGTCTGTCATACAGAGTGAAGTAAGTCAGAAAGAGAAAAACAAATAATGTATGCTAACACATATATATGGAGTCCAAAAAAAAAATGTGGTTATGAAAACCTAGGGTCAGGACAGGAATAAAGACACAGACATAGAGAATGGTCTTGAGGGCACGCGGAGGGCGAAGGGTAAGCTGGTACGAAGTGAGAGAGTGGCATGGACATATATACACTACCAAATGTAAAATAGTTAGCTAGTGGGAAGCAGCTGCATAACATAGGGAGATCAGTTCGGTGCTTTGTGACCACCTAAAGGGGTGGGATAGGGAAGGTGGGAGGGAGACGCAAGAGGGAGGGGATATGGGGATATATGTATACCTATAGCTGATTCACTTTGTTATAAAGCAGAAACTAACACACCATTGTAAAGCAATTATACTCCAATAGAGATGTTTAAAAAAAAAATCCTATCACTATCGCATTGCAATTTTTTACAATTTACCCCGGACCGGATGAACTGAGTCATAGGCTTCGAACCTTATGTTCCTTTCCAGCTTTTATATCCCAAGTTAGAACTCTTATGTGAACAAATGTATTTTTAAAAGTGTGTAACTGTTACCGCTTTTAGACAGTGAGCCCTGTGGGTAGATTGACGGCCACTTACAGAAGGGGCAGTGGGCACGAGGTCGTTTTCCGTTCTTCCCGTCTGCATTGCTGTGTGAACCCGGACGGATTCATAAATGGATGGTTCTTCCACTTTTCTTGGATAGGGATGTTTCAGAACAATCAGAGTGCCTGAATGAAGACAAAAAACCATAAGTAGAATCCCCAGAAATAAGGTCCAAATGCTAACAACTGGATAACTGTGGCTGAATTGTAAAGTCTCTTGTTTTTTCATGGATTCACTTACTCATTTTCTCAACATGCATCGAGTACGAACTACATGCCAGGCACTTAAGCCAGTCGCTGGAGATACAAAGTGGGATGAGACGATATCTGGCCTCCTCGTGCTGGGACAGAGCTAGCAATGAACATAGTCATTTAACTGAACGGGGTGATGAGACCAATGTTGGCCACGTGAACCAAGCATGCTGGGAGCCTATGTGGTAACTGTGCTTTTTAGGTGAGATGTCACTGGTGGCAGGGTAGAAAAAGTACCACAGAGACAAAAAGATCATGCGTAAGAAGAGCCTTTCTATGGAATGCTTCAGAAACTCTTTCCTAGGGGAGGCAACACCGTTCTAGACCTTAAAGCTGTAACTGGAGGTTTTCCAGGTGGGCTTTACAAAAGCCATGCAAACAAAACTAATCAAATACTCTGGGTATAGGAGGATTTATTCCATTGCCCTACTTCTCACTGGTTTCAGAACAACTTGTAACAAATCAGTGGACCTGAAAAATATGAACTCGTAGCATTTTCCGTAGTATCTCCTACCACCCAATACACAGCTGGAGGAAATGAAATCTTTGCTTTTCTTTAGTGAACATGAAGTAAATAGGCTGGGGCTCCTGTGTGATTACCTTCACTTCCATCTGGAGGAGGGGGGTCCCGGCAGAAAAAGGGTCCCCCCAGGTGCCAGGCACTGGGGGCTTGGGCGAGTCATTCAGAGGGCTGAGCGCTTTCAGCTCAACATTGACATTTCCCCCTTCTGCATCCTTCCCTTTCCCCAGTCAATCAGTCAGTCAGAAATTAGAAACTGATTACAAAAAGATTAAGTTAAGGGTTTTCTCCCCTTTGCTATGGCTTCTTGCTTTTTAAATTTCACTCAGGTCTTTTATAGGGCAGGCCCAGACACTGGGGGAGATGCAAAGATTTCAGTAATTCATTCAACAGACATTTACTGAGCTCTACTAAGTGCCAGGCACTTGTCTAGGCCCTGGAGATACAGCAACAGATAAAGGAGATGTAGCGTCTGCTCTCATGGCAGGGGAGACAGAAAAATATTTGAACAAAAGGATATGTCAAGTGAGAGAATCATTATGAAAACCCTAACAGAGTAATGTAAAGGAACAGAGAGCGAAAAGAGAGGGTTTGGTGAGGGTGGTATTTATATCAGGTCAGGGAAGCCTTCTTTGACAGGGTGACAGAAAGCTCATAGAAAGTATAGACCTTGAATTGCAGCAAGAAAGAGACAAGGAGGAAAGGAAAATACCTCCTCTGCAGTTAAAAAGCCCTTAATAATAACGATAAACCTACAAACAAAGCAAAACCTTTCTATGAGGCTTGAGTACATACAATGTACTGACTGCAAAACCAGAGCCGTGCCTTCTGATATCTCTCTGTACCCCATTCACCTCAGGAACCCTGGGAACACAGTGAAAAATGGCTCTTGCAGTTATGAGAAGCTCCAGTACTGTTCATGCACCTTGTCTGTACTCCCTTTTGTCAATGTGATTCTTTCATGAGAACAGATCCAGTCATATCAGGACAAGGGGCCAGTTACAGGTTTACAGTCATAATGAAAGCAGCAACACCTAAATCAAGAGCAGCCGTTATGCAGGCTCAGGGGCATTGTGGATGCACCTGTGACACGGCAGATGCTTGGTGAATTGGGGGCTGGCTTCTAAGTGACCTACCCCAGAGAAACAGCTCCTGGCAGCCACCTAGGCATCATGGAAGGAGCAACCATGGCCACTCAGCACCTGTTGACTTTGGACATTCTATCACAAGCTTCTGTTTCTTCCTCTGACAAGTGAGCATAATTACGCTTTCTTCATGAAGCTGCTTTAAGCGCCAAATAAAGAAGTGTTTGTGAAAGGATTATAACAATGTTCGATGTTGTTATGCTTTGATATAGAGTATTTTTAAATCCTTGAGTGAAATTCCAATGAGTGCCATCTTTGGGAATGCGGATTTTAAAATAAGAAAGATCTAAGTGTAACGATGTGCTAAGAATAAAAATGGCAGTAGTTTAGTAGGCACTGACGACATAGCACTAAGACAAACAGGTGCCTCTTAAACATTTCATCTGACAGTGGAGGAGAGGGGACGGGAGCTCAGGGCTCAAAGCAGCTCACAAATAAGAAAAAAATGTGAAATCTTGTGCTTCATCTTCAAAGTTGATGCTAAATTATCATCCTTTTCCATATGCTTAATATGAAAATAATATTTAAAATGATGCCCAAGAAAGATGCACCTGGTCAATCCTCTGTCCTTTTGCATAGAACCAAGCATACTCTAGGTATATGCCTACCTATACAGGTTTCCTACTGCAGCTGTAACAAATCGTCACAAGCGTAGCGACTTAAAATAACTCAAATTTATTATCCTACAGTTCTGGAGGTCAGAAGTCTGAAATGGGTCTCACTAAAGTGAAAGTATCAGCAGGGCTGCTTTCCTCTTGGAGGCTCTAAGGGACAGTCCATTCCCTTGCCTTTTCTAGCATCTGGAGGCTGCCTGCATTCCTTGACTGGTGGCCCATTCCTCCATCTTTAAAGCCAGCAACAGTGGGTCAAGTCCTCCTGATGCTGCTATCTCTCCAGTTCTCCCTCTTCTACCTCCATCTTATAAGGACCCTTGTGATTACAGTGGTTGCTCCTGATTATTCAGGATAATCTCCCCATCTCAAAGTCAGCTAATTAGTAGCCTTAATTCTATCAGCAAACTTAACTCCCTCTTGCCGTGTAACGTAACATTCACATTACCGGGGACGGATGTGAATGCTTTTGGGGGGGTCATTACCCTGCTTACCACGGTATCAGTTTCTGGGAGGTAAGCATAGCCATAGGGGCCCGTTGTGCTGCAGTGTAAGGATCTCTGGGCCAGGGTTGCTGCCTGAGCCTGCAGTGCTGTAATCACTTGGTACTGTAAAGCCATTGCCTTTCCAACACGTGCATTTCCAAGCCCTGTGAGTCCCTTCAGAGCAGGTACGGTGCCAAATTTATCTTTGTAGCCCTACCTCCTGATAGAGTTTCTGACGTAGGGAAGGTTTGATGAGCGAATGGATGAATGAATGCCACAGTAATTCACATTTAAGGCAGGGAAGAGTCTGAGATGAACCAGGCTCTTCCAGGTCCATGATTACCCTGGTCTGGGGCAAGGACAGGACAGGACAACAACTCCACATTCGGCTCTCCAAATCTCCATTGTGGGGACCCAAATTCCATTTTGAAACTTCCTCTGAAGTTTAACCAATGAAGAGCTAAGCTAAGGTAAATGCTATGAGTCAACCAGGAAAGCAGAATTGACCATAGATAGATATTAACTACTAAGACCATGAATGAGGCTAGATTGAATGGTGGAATGAAGAAAATGACAAACTACTTATAAAATGATAACTCCAGGACTTCCCTGGTGGTCCAGTGGTTAAGACTCTGCGCTTCCAATGCAGGGGACATGGGCTCGATCCCAGGGCGGGGAAGTTTTGCATGCCACATGGCGCAGCCAAAAATAAATAAATAAATGAATAAAATAACTTCACTGATAAAAATATGGCCTCTTGAGAAACAGGTCTCCTTAGCCAACTATTCTGCCCAAGGAAGGGCCAATATATGGACTTCTTGGCATGGCTGCTAGCCTCACAATGATTTCCCCTTTTGTAGATATCGTTCCATCCCCTTACACAGAAGTAGACCCCAAAGACCCTGGCCCTCCTCCACAAACACCTAACCTGGACACACTCATTGGACCAACCCAGGGATCTGCTTAGTCACTTCTCTGGGAAAAAGGTCCACTAACTTCAGTTTCTGAGTTCATGAAGAAGACTTGTTTCCTGCCTTTGACATGAAAGCTGGTTTCAGAAACACTCAGTGGAGGCACGTTTTTGAGATGATCAGAGCTGGAGGAAGACAGGCATTTCAATTTGCTGAAAGCTACAGAGTTGCCATGATCGCTGGGCTGATTACTTACTGTCTCTTGTGGTTTAGCTTGCCCTTAAATTCTGAGCGGATATATGAATATCCTTCCAAGAAATTCCACTTTTCTCCCTGTATCCTTCTTTTCCTTTTTTTTTTTTAAAATTCAGCTAGCCAGGGTTACTTTCTGTCATTTGCAGTCAAATGAAACTTATCTAATGTTGCCACCACAGACTCATTATATAAGTTCCACCCAAGGTTCAAGACAGCATGTTGGCTCCATAAGAGAGAACTCTGGGTTAGTGATATTCAGACAAAATTAACCCCAGGACTTGGTTTGAAGATTCAGATAAAAGGCAACAGGAGACAAGGGTTGGTAGAGGGAGAAGAGACACAGATCTGCAACCACAGGTTGGAATGCTCGCTGTAAGTTTCACTTCAGTTTCTAAGCTACATGAAGGAGGAGACTGCTGTTTCCTGCCTTTGACATGAAACCTGGTATCAGAAATGCTTGGCGGAGGTATATTTTTGAAGTGATTACAGCAGGATCGAGGCACGTATTTAAATTTGCTTTGGCTGAACTGTAACTTATAGGACACCTACTCAGTGTGTAATACTATGAGATTGCATTGAAGGACTCCTTATCTTGTATCCCAGCAGGAATTCAGAAAAAGAGTAAGGGCAGTCTCAAGCCTTAGGCGTTGGTTTGATGTCTAAAATAGAGAGTAGGGCAGAGCACATATACCTCCTAAAAAAAAACCTTTTGTTTAGAATATTTCTTTTATGCACTAAAGCTAGTATTCAATACTTACTCAGCCAGGTTGCCCACCTAGACTGTAAGATGTTTGAGGGCAAGGATGATACCTGTTTCATCACTGTGCTGTCAGTGGCCAGCAATGTCCAGCTCATAGCTGGCACTCAATACGTATTTGTTAATTATGAATTAAACTAAAGTAAGATTATATCCATCCATGTTTTATTATTGCCCTCAGGTTCAGAAA